GCAATGAGGATACAGTTTTCCACAAGCTTCATATTATTCAGTCTTTGGCTTTTGATGTACCTTACATCGAGTCTCGTAGCATTCAGCTTTTGTCATGCAGCTGCCTCAACTCAAGTTTCAAGCAAATATTATCAATATTTCTACATGCTCGGTAAATAGTTATCGAAATCGATGAATAGTAATAATAATGAATAAAGGATATATATATATCAATATCGAGCATTACTTATCGAAATTGATTTGTTGATAGACTGAGTCTTGTAACATTCAGCTTTTGTCATGCAGCTGCCTCAACTCAAGTTTCAAATTTTGTTTTTATCACATTCACTAGAAAAGTTGGCCCACAATTCCTTAATCATTTATAAGGCTATGCCTTTTATTTAGCATGCAAGTTCTGATCTCTATCTCCACTAGTTTCATAGATGTACCATCCTTTGAGTGTCATATCATCCAGCCATAAATTCGCTAGATGTAAACTAAGAGCATTTATTATGTTAATAATATATTTAATATAAAAATATTATGTGAATCATATGGTTATGTTTTCTACTTCATGAGCGATGAATTCATATTATTCAGTCGTCGGAATTGATGTACCTTACATCGAGTCTTGTAGCATTCAGCTTTTGTCATGCCGCTGCCCTAACTATAGTTTCCAGCGTTGTTTTTGTCACATTCACTAGAACAGTAGGCCCACAGTGTCAGAGGTATTCATGGGGCTATGCTTTTTTTTTAACCAGCAAATTATGATCAATATATGGTCATTATTTTCACAAATTTTATTCATGCACCTTTCATCGAGTCTCGTAGCATTCAGCTTTTGTCATGCAGCTGCCTTAACTACATCTTTTGTGGATTTACATATACATATATACTTAATGGAATCTCGGCTTTTATTATAATTATTTTATTTATTTTTTTATTCTTTATTAATTTTATTCCCACTATTGAGCCTCCAGAGGATTTAATGCATCAAACATTTTTCTATGTGCAAATTTTCAGTCTCCTTTAAATTTTCAAATTAAGTAGCCTTTAAAGATTTTTACTTATTGTCAGCCAGCTTCCTTTTCAACTCAAGCTTCTCATATATAATTTGAAGCTACATGCGCTGCACTTTAGATGGATAGCTCTCAGCTTAGCTATATGCGTCTCGTCTCGTTGTTGCAGTTGTTGTTGTTGTGCTCAAACGCACTTTAACAAATTTTCTATGCGAAATTCCATTATCCCTTTGACATTTTGCAGTTGAGTTAGCGACCTAGTTTGCCATACAGCGTAAATATCTCCAGACTTTTTTTTTTGTTGCTGCTCTGTGTGCAAAATAACCCCAAAGAGCGTTGAAGAAGTAGAAACAAGTTGAAAAAAAATTGCTGCATGACATTATTGCCAGTCAGCTGTTGTTGTTGTTGTTGTTGTCGCTGTCGCTGTCCAATGTTCGTTACGTGCAATGTCACCCACCTACACACACACACACACACACACACAAACACACACACACTTCCGCTCTGGTTGCATTGTTCATTTAAATTCTAATTTGTATTTGCCGCACTCGACAATGAGAGAGTCGAGGACAGCAGGACCTGGGGACATGGTGAGTACGCTTCCTGCCAGCGGGCACTTGGACAGGTACAAGGGTTGCTTCGCTTCAGCTCTTTGGCCTCCCCCCCGCGCCTCCAGCATTAAGCCACGTGCCCAATAATGTCCTTGAAACTTTTGGGGCGTGTCCCAGCGATTTGTTATTGTTGCCTTTGTTAGGTGCTGCAATCCTAATCGCGTTTTTTGGTGACGCTTTGCATAGCCCACTCAATTGGCGCTTTTAATGACTCCAGCTAGAAGCAACGGAGAAGAAGAAGAAGACGTGTAAATGGTGGCCATTGAACAATGGAACGCCAAGGCCGCAGGTGCCGCAGGTGTACATTACCAACGAAACGATTAGAAATCATTTGTAGTGGCTCGATAAGCACAACTTTTCACAGGTGTCGGGAAATGGTCGCTTGACGTCTTTTGATGGGGCTGTGTATAAGCCGGAATCGAACATGACTAATTAGTAATTTAAACTGAAATTTTGTTGCTTTCATATGAGAAAATTTGCTGAATTTGTTCAATTTGCCGAATCATTCATATTTCGTTGGGGCTTATGGTACATAGAAATATTTTGCAACAGTTTTATTTCTGATAGTTCTTTCATTTAATCTGACTGATTAGCGGGTATTGTAGCATTTAGTCAGACAGATTAGATTATATACATACATAGAAGTGGGCAAATGAATCATAGACTAACGAGTAGGTTAAATAGACTTATTAGCAGTATTTTTGTATAACTTGTGAAATCATTTGAGTCTTGATTTTTATTTACATTTTATAATTCATTGCTATAAAATTTAAATATTAAAAATAATGTATAATATTTGCAAAGATTTTAATATTTTTATTTGTTTACAATTTTATTCAGCTCATTTCTTTTATATTTGTTTTGCCAACAAATTTAGTAAAATAATTACAACTACAATAATTTATTTTTGTTTCATCATCGAATATTTTTTGAATGGTTAATAAATCAGTATTAAATTAATTAAAATTGTTTTACTGTGATTTTTCCCTAAATACAATATCGGATAATGTTTTCAATTATTTGATTTTTTTTTTTTTAATTTATTTCATAAATAATCTTTAAAAAATATACAATAACTTTTATTAAATCTAGAGAGCAGAGTTTGAAGTAAAATTAAAATTTAACAATTGTTGGGTTAAGAGAAATTACAAATTTATTACTAAACAATAAATTAAATACACAAGTTGAGCCATTTGAAATTTGTTTTTATTTCTTATTAAATTCCTGCTTTGCTTAAAGTAATTGTGGCTTTGTCAGAAGTTTTTCAGTGAATCGAAATGGATGGCATTCATTCGACGAAATGGAGGAAAATTGGTTTCCCGCTGTGTGCTTCATGCTTTTCCTCTACTTTCATTCACTCTGCCTTGTGCTTACATTTTCCATTGCCATTCGCTCTGGCCAGTTTGGCTCTTAATTCAGCTGTTGTCGCCATTGCTTTAGGTACTTAATTAAAAACCGCATTTGTTGCATTTCTTTATATTCGTTGTTGTAGTTGTTGTTGTGTGTGTGTGTTTTTTTTGTTGTTGCCTTTTACTATTTTTGCTGTTTTGTGAAGAGAAGAAGTGGCCTTGCGGCCGTCTCTGGGAATGTTAAAGCTTAGAATGTCTTATGGCTGTCTTTTGTTCTGGTTTGTCACTGGAATTTATAGCAGGTTTAACCCACTTTTAGCTGCGCTTGTGTGTTGGGGTATTTTTCGTATTTTTTT